AGACGCCCATTGGATCCGAGGCGCTGTTCGCCATTCTGATTATTCCCTGCTTACTGTCTGTTTGTCCTTATCAGTCTGTCCCAATGAGGAAAGCAAATAAACAAAGATGATGCTACGTCATGTGAGGGGGTGAGGGAGAGAGAGAGAGAGAGAGAGAGAGAGAGAGAGAGAGAGAGAGAGAGAGAGAGAGAGAGAGATGGGCACTGGATGAGAGAAAGAAATAAAAAAAATGGTGTTGGCTGAAAAAGGTATAACAGGGAAAGAGAAAGAAGGCACGAAAGTAAGGATCATCTTTTATTTCAGTTATTTATTTATTTTTCTCCCCTGCTCCCTCGTTGACCTTCTGTTTGGAGAGAGGAAGGCAGCAGCACAGCACTCCTCACTGGCAAAGACAGGAGAGAGGCGCCTGCTGCTGCTGCTGCTGCTGCTGCTGCTGCATCCGGGATTCACCTCACCTACACAGGACGGGATCCTGGGTTGATCACGGGTAGGAACCAAACAATCATACAACAAATATTATTATTATTAGTAGTATAGCTATTATTTTAAAAGCGACTGTCTCTTTTGGTATTGTTGTGTAGAGCTCTAACAACAGGCGTCTTAAAGAAATGTTTTTTTATTACTGTTTGCATTTTATTTTATGAAAGAATTAGTAATTACCTTTTGGTTTTCTTTTTTTTTCCTTTTCTTTTTTTTATTTCTAAATCTCTTTGCAGTCTTCCAAAAACTGTCAAGATTTAAGCCTGGATGGAGGCGGCACCGGCTCCCCGCTAATTCAGTGAAAATTCAACTGCAACTCCTGTAAGTTTTTCCCTCTTCGGAATCGTTAAAAACCTGCTTTTTTTCTCGATTATTATGTTTTAGTTTAAAAAATAAAAAAAATTAAAATAAAATTAGCTGTAATTGGCCTGTGAGCTTCTTTTTCGCTTTAAGTACATTTAAATAAAGGTTTTCCACATTTCATTAAAAATATATATATTTGAATTCACTAAGCACTGATTGAATCTGTGCCTCTGCTGAGCGATGAATGATCCTGTCGGGACGGGGCGCACAATCCCCTTCTCCCCATGCTGACCACTGCGGCGTACCGAGAGCAGATAATGAGCCTACACTGTAAAAAATGTCAGTTTGAGGAAAAAATATTATTTCAAACAATGAATGTTTTTCTTTTAAGATATCGTCCCAGATTTTTTTTAAGGTAACTCATATACATTTTAAAGAATATTTATGAATTCTCAAAAATTTCTTGTTTTAATTTCAAATTTCGTGAATTAAAAGTAAAATTTGCTAAATTTGCAAGGTCAGCTTTTTACGTATTTTGGAAAGATGTGGATTAACCTTGCGTCAAGAAAGAATAGCAGCACCTTTAAACTGTGTTGCTCAACTAGTGCTTGGTGTGTATTCTCATAGCAGATTCCCCGAAGTTGCTCTATATATATATATATATATATATATATATATATATATATATATATATATATATATATATATATATATATATATATATATATATATATACAAAATTGCAGGCATAAAACGGGTGTTGTCACAATGATCCGTAAATGTGGCGCCAACTTTAACAGCATATAGCTAGTTAGCTAGTACAAAAGTTTTCTCTCTTTTTTTTTCTTTTAACATCCCTCTCTCTCTCTCTCCCTCCTCTTTCTCCCTCCCTCTTTTTTTTCTCTTATTGTTTTTATTGTGTGGTCTCATTAGGGGGACTTCCTGGCAGGACTGGGAGCTTGTATCGGAGCTGTCCAATCAGTGTATTTACACGGGTTGTTAGCGACAGTTAATGAGGGCTCCTCCCCGGGCCGGTAGAGAAAAGGCGCCTCAACATTAAGATTTACCTTGTGTCAACTCGTTACTTCTAATGAACCTCCCTGAAAAAGCCTCCTTCGTAGTCAATGGAGCCGCGCGCCCGGATCTTGTGTGTGTGGGACTGGAAGAGTGGAGCTGCAAGCCGGGCTCCCTTCTCTCCCCCCACATCCATTTTTTTTTTTTTTTTTCTCAGAGGGGGTTTTTTTTTTTTTTTTTTTTTTTTTTAACCCCTCTTGCACACCCAGCCTTATGATGCATGCATGTTTTGTGAGGTGCATGCCTGCTCTTTATGTCACAACAGCACATGGATGAACAGTGCTAAACGTAGTTTGCAAGCGTTTGGCTGTAAGTTAGCTAATTCCACTCTGGAGATTTTTAGACTTACACGGATAAGTCAAATAGAAACTATGACAGAGAAGCTGGAGGGAGTGTTTGCGTGCCTCTATCGCAAACTCAGAGCATCTGCCATTGTTTGCTGAATGAGGCTTGACATGTCAACTTATTGCCTCTGCAGAAAAGAAGTTCATTTATTCCCCTCCCCCCACCAACCCCAGGTTTTCTTTCCCCCTCCCCAAGAGCAGATCAGCCTCTGGCCCCTGTGTCCATCCCTCATCTGGCCCCCAGTGTGGCTTGTTGAGCCGCATCAGCAACACATCACTGCCCATGAATTCAGGTACAAACTGGAGGAGTTTGGCAGATCACTAAAAGTGGATTTCCCTCCCACTCTTTCCAAACCACAGAAACACTTAAAAATCAATTAGCCTTGTCTGGCCCTCTGCCTGCACCAGTCACCATTAGGACAAAACAAAACAAAAACAAAAACAGGTGAGTTCCACAGGACCAGACTATGTATATTTAGGATTTATTGCCAGCTTTAATTACAGTGGAAACAAACATTTAGCATTTTATCAATGAAACTGGTGCAACGATTTAAGTGTGTTTTATTTGGGATATATTTGAAGCAATTTCTTCTCAGTTCTCCTCTCCACTTTGTGGTCAAGGTATAAACCTCTAAACTTCTTAAATATGTTATAACATGTCACTTGCAAGCTGCTTCCCTGGCAACCACAACAAAGAAATGATGATCCACGTGCCTCTGGGAATAAAACGTCCGCTTGCTAGTAAGTTTGACTTTAGCATTGGCATTGTCACTTATGCATCTTTAAAAAAATTAAAAAACAAAAAAAAAATATCTTCAAATAATAAGCCAAAAAATGCTTATGAGTTAATTTCATATATTTTAAATATACTGTAACTACATGGCATCATATCAGAGTCTCACCACTGTTCAACACAGAAGTCTGTTGGCTCGTCACCAAGTTCAATTTTTAGCATTACTGCTGTCGCTAAGCTAGTCAAAGATAACATTATCTAGAGCTATTATCAGAAATACTTCCCTGACCTGTAGCAGTGTCTTCTTGGAAAATGGTTTGAATGCTTGAAGGTGGTGAACACTAACAAGCTAGTAGTACGCTATATGTGAATCCACCTCCTCAGTTCCCCTTTCGGGATAACTTTCAAACAACCATGAACCCCGAAAACTTTGTTTTACACAATATTTGATGGTACTGCACAGGTGACTCAAAGTCCAAATGTTTACTCCGTTCTTCACAAACCTAGATTTCATTACCAGTTAACAGCTTATCTACTGTTTTAACTTTACATAAAAACAAGAACTTTCTTTGGCTTTACGACACAGTTTCTTATGTAGTAACGGTTTGTTGGGAAATTATACAGCTGTTTTCTGCTAATACGGCATTGCTTCCTATTGATAAGAGTATTTTCATTTCGAGTTGTTCTAAGCTGATAGACATCTAAAGCTGGCTACCTGTTAGCCGTCCACCAATACTGTCACATACAGTAAGGTAACTTTTTAAAGCTATTTACAAACTTAATGTATTGCTCCAACACAGAGACTTTGACCAATGCAAGCCTAATAGCATCTTTTAACTTTTACTGATGTAATATTTTCAACTTATAAACAAATCCACCTTGACATTATCAGGACACACAAAGGACAAGAATAAACAAGGGTTGACTGAACCAATACCTTTAGCTAAATTGTGATGCAAATATGTATTGTGTCCAAAGTTATTAGAATTTATCCACCATGGTACTACAATTACAAACCAAAATGGCTGCTTCACATTGAAATCATTATCATGGATAATATTTAATTTACTAGGAAATTCGTTTTTTTAGTGTAACGAGTCCCAATCCCGTCGCTGGCGACATATTTTGACCACTCTGAATATGAGATGTTATGAAGAAACGTTTTCCTTTCGCCTGTTCAAACTGAGCCCTTCAGAGTGAAGAGGTGTTACTCAACATATTTGCGCACCATAATGAGATTTACCTTTTCACAAGCAAATACATCCACCAGCAATCAGCAGGTGACAAACTGCTATAAAATACTTGCAGATCTCGGTACTCGATGTGTTTGCAAAGTCCCGCAACCTCTCCCGGGCTGTTAATAAGTTTTATTTTATTTCTATATATAGAATACATTTTTTTTGTGTGTTTTTTTTTTTTTTTTAGCAGCCGCCTGGTGCAGCAATGTGACAGAGAGGGGCAGCGCCGGAGGAGGCCGGGTGTTCACTCTTCCAGGTCGATTCATGAATAGGGAGAAATAAATATAACGGGCGCATATCAGATGCGTTGCCCCAAGCTTTACACATGATGCTCACCTTAACGTTCCCCAATGACCGTCTCACAGGTTTAAAAAAAAATTGTCGCTTTTTCAGCGCAGTCAGTCCATTTCTCCTTCCAGTCCCTAAATAAAGCTTGTGCATAAGTCATTAAGCTACTTGTGTGGAGGAAAAAGATGCTCTCAGGCATGAATGAGGCCAACACAATGACCAGCCAGGGTCTTCCCAAAAAAAAAAAAAAAAAAAAAGAAAAAAAAAAGAAAAAGAAAACCATATTCTGTTTTGGATTCGTCTGTCCTGGCTGATTAACCGGCCGGGGCTCCAACATCTCAGATGGGAGCTGTGGAGATGGCCCTTTAGCCCGGTGTCACAGGAGCTGACAAGATGCAATTACTGCGGCTGACACGTCCAACCCCAAAGCTCACTAATGTGAGAGATGTGGAAACCGCAGACAGTTTCTCGCACACTATGCAGCGAGAGGCAACTCTGCGGCCAAGGAGTCCCATTTTAAACGCGGCTCTGCGTGACACCTTTCACCAGTAAAATAGCCGCTTATTTAGCAGGCGACGATACGGAGCGGAGCATCATGAGGCTGTATGCAAACGCAGGACAACAGAGAGCTAGTCTACTCGGTTTTGAAAGGACATACACTATAAAAACGGAATTTTGAAGGAGATTAACTATTATTCAGAAAATTATTTGTATTTATTTATTTTTTAATCACGTGGTTAGAATACAGTTTGAGTAATTGATTCAGTCTGTAAACTGATATTCATATATGACTTAGCAAAAAATGAGAACTACATTGACACATTTGACTGAGGAAGTCAAATGCATTAGCATTAGCACTCATCAGTGCTAATGCTAGTTTAAGCAGTAAGGGGAGCTTAAACATGAGGAAATGATTGCCAATGAACAGTGACCTCTAGAACACAACGTGTTTGCATGTCAAAAAAAAAGAACTGTTATTATTACTTATTGATTCTTGACAGATGATACAACAGCCATGGTAGGCGATCTTAATAATTATGGGGGAAACTCTTTTAAAAGAAAGCGGTGAAATTTTAAACAATGCGTTTGGGTTGTTTCAGCTGTGAAACACACAAACTTATCCTTAAAAATGGGAATGAATTATAACAAAATAAAGTTTATATAAATGGAATGAAATTTTTATCTGTCAAATTTTATATATATATAAAAAACACTTTTTCAGCTAAGTGTAAATGATGAAGCAAATTAATTATTTACATGTAATGTACAGGACTTTAAAAAAATAATATATGGAGTTGCACTGATAAAACAAACTGGTGTCATTTGCATAGAAGTGTCTCAGTAAACTTGACGGCTAAAATGTCCTTAAATCACTTTTACTTACCCAATTGAATAAATTAAAATCTGATTATTAATATTGTTTTGATCACCTGGGTTTTTTTTTGTTGTTGTTAAAAAGAAACTAAATAAAATAACTAAATTCTGACAGAAACCAAAATAGACCTTTTAATCCTGAGTTTTGCCTCAAGGCTAAAAAGCTCAGCTTTATCTTCAGCATTAGCTCTGTCACAAATCTAGTTGAAACTGGATATGAACTGAAATTCTGGCTCCAATACAAAGACTCTCTAAACCAGATGTTTTATGGAAGCTCTTAACTTTTACTCAGTTTGCATATTATGCATTGTACAGAGTAAATATCAACAACATATTCAGATAAATCTAATCCCAAGGTTTGGGTAAAATTTATTCCTAACATAAACTAGTGACAGTGGTAAGACTTTAACCATTACTGGTCAACACATTGCAACCAGGTTATGTTAAAAGTTACATGGCTAATATGTAATATCCTACAAAATACCTTTTTAAAGTGTACAACTTATGTACTTAAAACCAAAATTTAACTTCAATCACGACAGAAACAGGTCATCCTAAAGTAAAAACTATTTAGCCAAATACATTCAAGTTTGAGGTACTTTTCTTGGAAAATGTTTCTAATTTTATTTCATTCAAACATCATCTTTAGTTTTAGTGCATTGTTATACCACTGTTTTGTTTTGTTTTTTTGCTAACACTTTTAGCACCAATAAACAATAATCACCTATAACTGTAGAGGTGATTATACAGTTACAAAGGCTGTTCTTTTTAGCACTTCAAACTATAGCGTTTGGATTAATATAAAAGTGGGCTATGAGCATTACATCCCACTGAGGTGTGAATGTTTCCTCCTGTCTCTGATTTGATAAATTCCTTTAGATTTTCCCATGATGTAAACTGTCACCCGGTTCCAGTTTAAAACCCACACTAGCTGCTTGTCACACTCATTTATTCCTCTCCCAGCATGCAGAAGTTATGCCTCCTGAAGCGCAAAGACTCCCATTAAAGCTTCTAAAGTCTCCAATCAACCAACATGAGTGATCCATAGCTGAAGTGTCCCTTCCACTCTGTGTGGATTTGTCGCAGCGATCCAAATGCCATTGTCTCATATTTTGATTGTTGCTTTTGCATGACCAGCAAGTTCTTCTCTCTCTCTCTCTCTCTCTCTCTTTCTCTCTCTCTCTCTCTTTCTTTCTCTGTCTGTCTCTGCGTTTCTCTCCTTCTCCTCCTTGACTGCAGCTTTTGACATTACTCCACTCGATTGCCCGTTTACCCCCGAGTCAAGTTTGAGGCGGGCATGAAGTGTAAAAGAGGTGGGCCATGTCATATCCGCTCAGTGTGCATGGGATTGTTGGCATGCACGGCAGTGATCATTGTTCAGGGAGAACAATTCTTGCTCAGAGCAGGCAGGGAAAAGTGAGGAGAGTGGTTGAAAACCGGGGCCGATGAATCGGTTTGTTCACAGGTTTTTCCTCATCAGCAGTGGCGGTGTGAGTATATCACAAGCACTTTGTTTTTGTTGTTGTTTGTTTGTTTTTAAGCCACATCTATTCATTGATAAAATCCCATCATCATATTTGCAAAACTTGAGTAACATTTCCCTCTCCTTCCTGGACACAAGGGTAATTTCAGTATAATTCATATTAAGATATTGAAACACTCATCTATTCTACACTGACAAAAGACAAAAAATTATAATTGAATGAGTACAATTGATGAAGCACTTTACATATATTCTCTTTGGGGGTTTTCTGAGTTGAAATGATTTAAGCTCAACAGTGGGCATGTAGATTAGTTACTCAGCTAGTTAACTATAGTTAGCACGTTTCTTTTTCTTATCTGTCCTCCACGATGGAAAATAAGAACAAAAAACTATTTTTTGTGTTTAAAGAATGAAATGTTACTGATACAGTTTAGTAAATCTTTTCTAAAAAGATTTTTCCCTGACAACAAAGTTCAACAGTAGCTTTAGGATTGTTGCTGAACTACTTCAAGATGGCAAGATGGATACAAACTTATATATATATATATATATATATATATATATATATATATATATATATATATATATATATATATATATATATATATATATATGTGTGTGTGTGTGTGTGTGTGTGTGTGTGTGTGTGTGTGTGTGTGTGTGTGTGTATAAGGAGTAGAATAAGATTTGACTGACTGCGTTTTCACTTCCGTTTTTTTCAAATGTATAAGTAGAAATTTTATTAAAGTAACACAATATCTGTATAATTCAACCACGATTTTACATTGCATTAACAAACTAATATAGTTGATCCAAAATCTACAAATATTAATGGGTACAATTAATATTTCAATTTTTACTTGAACTTAAACATTTAATGGATGGATCTGTTGTACTAGTGAGAGAGTTCTTATTTTGAACTCGATGTTGACCGAAAATTAATTATCTTGAATCTTTCAGCAGAAACAAACTGAATCTCTAAAACATTTAGATCAGAATCGGAATGTTCTTATTCTTATTGTAACGAAGCGATAACAATACAAGTCCTTTAAGTACATTATAAGAATTTGATGTTTGCAGTTTTAGGGAAATTTATTTTCCAGTCTAATGACGTAAGTCTGAAGTGTACTATTAGACTACAACTTGTTTATTGCGCACAAATAAAATAAGTCTCACTGACCTAGAATTAACGTCAGTGATTAATCAGGCATTTAACTAGCTCTCACGTGGTTGCTACAGGCAACAGGTTAACACTGTATCCTTTACATTGTGGGGTCTCAGGTGTGTGTGTTTTCATCGAGCGGTTGGATTCACCAGCCAATCAGAGCTGTCGTTCGAAACCAACCGTCCCGTAACTGGAAACTATAGACAAGTCTACTTATTTACGGCTGAGCAGAGCCCGTCCGATCTGATTATGGTCGGTATATTGGATCAATAACTGATGTCTGGGAGAACCGACGAGGGTGGAGTGCAGGGACAGGAGGGAAGCAGAGGTACAACAGGTCATTCATCAAGGATGAGCCATTGAATTCTTTATTATTATTATTATTATTATTATTATTATTATTATTATTATTATTATTATTATTATTATTATTATTGTAGTAGTAGAAGTCTCCAAGCCATTAACACAAAAGTGCACAATTTAAGCAAATGCAAAGTTTTAATTTTAATAATAATAATAATAATAATAATAATAATAATAATAATAATAATAATAATAATAATAATAATAATAATTTAACGTATTAATGCTTATTATTATTATTATTATTGTTATTATTATTATTATTATTATTATTATTATTATTATTATTATTATTATTATTATTATTATTAGTTAGACTTGATTTGGGTCCATGAAAACACCGGAGTGAAACTTTTCCTCACTGATTGGGTAATTTGCGTCACCGTGTCGCTGATTGGTCAGTCGGGTATCAGAGTTTTTATTTATTTATTTATTTATTTATTTTTTTTATCAAACTCACTCACCATAGCGCAGCTCATCCCCCTGCAACTGAAATTCCCGTGTTAAACACACAAACAACCTAAAAGAGAAACAAATGAATCTCGGACCACATAAAGTACTTAAACAATCACTCTCGGGTTAGAATTTGACCCATATCCCATCTCGGCGTGGTTATTGCCTTTCATTCATTATTCAGCTTCGGATTATTAGCTATAAGATGGCAGATGTCAGAGCGCGATGGAGATGTTGATGTTCGACCGACTGAAGGAGCCATTATCCCAGCCGCTTATCAAACATTCATGTGGCAGCTGTAGTTTGTGGCCCTGCCCTCCGTCCTCTGCTCTCACGAGACAGCTTCCCTTCACTCCTTAAGCTGCCGTGACCTTTCCCCTCGGTGTTATCGTATAGCATTAAAAAACGACGGCCCCACTTGTTTCAGATGATTAGAAACAGTCATCAGTATAATATATGAAATAAAATACATGGACACTTGCGTCAAATTTACGTTTAAAAAAAAAAAAAAAGTTTATACCAAATGAAAAACATGAAATTTGGAGTTAGGGATGAGATCGAAGATCTGTTACGTCATAGTGAAATTCAGCTTTATCCACAGTGAGATGTAGCGTATTTAATAAGTAAATACAATTCAGATTGTTTTTTTATTGTGCTGCATAAAAAGTCAAATTTTATACATTTTATTATCATGACATCATCCTAAATGTATCACTTCGCTTGGAATAATTAATCTAATTAACTTGTGTCTCATAAGGGCAGTAACAAATGGTTTGACAAAATTAAACTTTTTAAGGTTCAACATCACAATCACAATTATTTCCCTAAATATGACTTTTAAAAGAATTATTATTATTATTTTTTAATCGAAAAGTCTGTATGTTGAAATAAAAGATCATGTAAAAGCGACTAAAAAGTTGAAGCTGAAAAGACGCGTGTCGACGTTTAAATGTGGCTAAAGTTGGTTTTGGTGGATCAACTTGGCTAACCCAGATTTCCACGTCTTTGATTAGGCTAACTTTAGATATAGAACTTAAAATCCAGATCACGTTTTTATTTTGACTAAATAACACAAGGACCCGTGACGAAACTTCAAAGTTATGCTTCCACGGAACGGGTGTGTTTATTTTTAAATTACTATATTAATCTCGATTTATTATTTAAATTACATATCTGTGGTGTGATTTTTTTTTTTGTATTTATAATAAGCCTAATTAAAATAGGGATAATTAATACACATAATTATATATTTCTTTTTGGCGTCTCTCTCTTTCTGTCTCTCTCTCTGTCTCCCTCTTTCTCTCGCTTCAAACAGAAAATAAACTTTTTTCCCTCAACTCTTCTCCAATTTAGTG